GGAGAAGATCTTTACCCTGAGGCAAGCTGTTGGAGAATGCCTGAAGTGTAATCTCACCATCTTCTTGAATGTCAAAGGCTATGCATAGATGGCAGCTGATGCTCTCAAGAAAATGTCCATGGAATTTTCATGAGTATACAATAATAGTATGATCTGCTCATTCTTGCCAAAAGTTATCTATAAGATGAGACAAATAGTTCATGATGTAGTAACAGCTCTAACTCACAGACCTTAGAGCCTGAGCCATAAAAGAGATAGGAAATGCTCACTAGGATACTTTCTGGAAGCAGTCTGTTTGTGGTAATAGAGATTTAACTCGACTGGAGCGTGCATAGTATCTTTGGTGCCTGTGTGGAATTTCAGCCTTCCTCAGGCAAAAGGAATTTGTATCTCCGGACTGTTTGAAGAAGTGGTCAGCTGAACAAATCCACGTTGTTGTTTGGAGTGTTAGTACCTTTGATGAAAAAGTTACTGTGAATCTCACCTTGGTTCCAGCTATATCACTGACAGAAGGCTGCAGGACTGTGTACCTCATTTTTGGACTTTCATCTCAAGTAGGAAACAGGTTCACAAACTGCCAGTTGGCCGCATGCAGGGATATGAAAGTATTCTTTGTGCTAACCCAATCCCTGGGGATTCAGTGGCTCACACAAGTAAGTAACAGTAATTGCATTTTATTGTTATTTTTATTTTTTGAGACAGGATCTCACTATGTAGTTCGGGCTGACCTGAGCTTACTGTGTAGCCCAGGCTCGCTTTGAACTTGTGACCATCCTCTTGCCTCAGCCTCCCAAGTGCTGGAATTACAGGTGTGCACCACCCATCCTGTCTTAGTAATTGCATTTGTAGCTGAATAAGCCAAAAGCCAGTGTTGCTACTAGGCTCTACAGAATGCCTGAATTTATCACTGTTGCTCTTAAAAGTCTGGATCTGAAAATAGGTGCAACAGCTCCTACCCACCCAGCCAAGGCTGCACTGAGACCCAGTGAGGATAAGCACAGAGCACGTTGTGCAGTGAGGGGACATGGATGAAATGCATGGGACTTGCATGATCACTCAGAATTGACTTTTTTTTTTTGGAGACAGGGCTCACTGTGTAGTTCAGACTGACCTTGAACTCACTTGCTCACTTGTAGCCCAAGTTGGTCTCGAACTTGGAATGTCCTCCTGTCTCAGCCTCCTGAGTGCTGGGATTACAGAGGTACACCACTACACCCGGCAACATTTTAAAATATGCTATGCTGAAGTAATATATTTATTTCAAATATTTCTGTTAAGATTTCTTAACAATGTATTATAGGTAGCCAGGTGTGGTGGTGCACACCTATAATCCCAGCACTCGGGAGGCTGAAGCAGGAAGATCACTGCAAGTTCAAGGCCAGCCTGGGCTACAAAGTGAGCTCAAGGCCAGCCTGAACTACATAGTGAGACGTCTCAAAAAGACCAAACAAACAAACAAACAAACAAAAAGCCAATATACTATCAGTATCAAACTGAGGCCATATTAATAAAGGAAATCATTAAAAGGAAAAATGTACATCTATTAAACTGGACAAAAGATGCTTTGAAAAGTTTTGAGAGCTAGTGTAGTCTCTTACCAAAATTTACTGGCTTCATATTGCAAATCATTGTTAACATTTTGAGTTGGAAAAAAAGGCTGGAGAGATTACTGCCATAGCTAGATTGGAGTGGTAATTGTTCTGTGTCTGTTCCTGACCCTGAAGTTATACTTGGCAGCAGAAAGTTTAGCCTTAGCAGAAGTTGGGGAATATGGAAAATGAAAACCAGAAAACCAAACCTGGAGCATGACCAGGAAAAGTTATGTGTTAAAGATGTGTGCTTGAGGGGGCTGGGGATTTAGCTCAGCGGCAAAAGCGCCTGCCTGGCAAGCGCAAGGTCGTGAGTTCGGTTCCCGGTACCGGAGAAAAAC